CATCAGTGACCAAAAAATAAGAAAGAAGACCCTTTGGTATTTTCAAAGGGGTACCTTATTCACTGAACGAGGTTCCCACATTGATGTTTTGTAAACAAGGATCTAGTATGGGCCCCAAAACGTGAGCTTTACATAGGTATTTTTAAGGGGGTGGGAGGAGGGGTTTAGGCGACAGCATTTGTTAACTTTTTCAATTAACCTACCTGGCCAGACGGTATTTCATCAAACTGTTCACTACGAAAAGCACCAATGTTTTCTGGCCCGTTCTGATAAAAAAATATCGTGAATTTCTCTTTCCAACTCAGCAAAGTACAAGGTGCTCGAGACGGACGTCCTTGCGTAGTGAAAGGGAAAGTCTTCTCACAGGAAAAGTCTCGGTAGACTTAATAACTGTGCGCTATCATACAGTGCCTCGGCCACAAAAGGCTCCTCACACACGGATTCGACCCACGCCCGAGAAAAGCGTTAACAGCAGGAGCTCTTCGCCGTCGGGCAGTGCGTGTCGTAATGGAGAGACGCTGCCAAGAAAAATGAACGAAACCCAAGTAGCCGCAAGGCGACCGCGCCTCCATTGACTTGCATCGTTAAGGTCAAGGCAGGTGCCGGCTTCTCCCGGACTTTATTCCAAGGTGGTGCTTTGATGTGTGCGTGGTAGGGGGAACGTTCGAGGATATACTAAGGAAAAATTAAGATATGAAGGTATACGCGCGTAGGCGTGATTTTCTGAAAGCATTGGGGCTTCTTGCTTACAATCAGGGGAGAATTATTTCTTGCTATGTTTTTTCTTAGTCTGCCAGAGCAGTTTCTAGGGCCTATACGGGAGTTAACGATTAGCAGTATGGTTTCTACAGCGATCGCTAAAGAGATATTCTTTGACGATTAACGTATACATCTCACCGTATTGTGGGAGTAGTATCGTGCGAGGTTGAAAATTTCGATGCTTACGAATGAAGTTTGTAAAGCTAAGCAACACAGGTTTCTAATAATGAAAAAAAACACACTAAAGGCATTCTGTTATCTTAACGAAGCCACAAGGACAGCTTTATATTGACGTGTTGGCCATAACAGCACGTATTGTACGAAGAAAGACACCACATTAACTATTGCGAAAGCCATGGGTGCAGATGACTAATACGGAGCTCTGTAATTACCATAAGTATCTCCTCGCTATTACAACCGTAAATCATTCATACAGGGCCTAAATATATGTGAATTTCCATACCTCGCGCTTGTCTGTCGTTCATTTACCATTGTCTTTCGTGGACGGCCTATAAAATGGGCACCGAAATTAACGCAATAGCGACGCCTCGCGGTTCTCCGCTGTCCTCCGTTATATCACCACACACTCTCAGTCATTTACCATGTTTTCTCGAGGTCACAATTACGTCTTATATCCCATTCCTCTTTTCTGATTTCGCAGTATTTATGTCTTCCAAAAACGGACCAATGTTATTATTCCACTTTTTTAATTGTGGTACTTCAGCATGACGTTCATGATGACAATTCGATGTTTATGACGGAAGGTCGGAATGTCGTTAAATGTTATCAGAATAATGTTATTGAGTTATAAATATTCTTTTGAATGGAAATGCCTAGATGTGGTATGGCTGCAGAGAAGCATAGACAGTTGCGCTAATCAGCACAAAATAAACATAAAATTAAGGCAATTATTTGAGAAATCGTTAGTTAACAAAAAAGGAGGTGTGCTGAGTTGTCGTGTTAGCGCTGTCTAATTAGACACCTTTCAAGTGAACAGCTTGAAGTCACGTGGTACACAAAAAGTTACCATTGAACCTCTGCCCTTAGCTTCACATAAAAAGTATTACTACGAATACTTGAATGGGGTTGAGAGCGCATTGTGCCAACCAAGCTCATGCCAAATACAAGTTCATTACACAAGAGTAATGCTGCATCTGGTTGAACAGAATGCCAAACATTACATTCAGTCTCATCAAACAATTGCATATGGTAAAAAAACATGTTCATGGCTTAGTTTTAGTGTAAACTCTATTCTTTTAAAATGACTCTATTCTTTTAAACTCTATTCTTTTAAAAATGAAAAAAAGAACATAAAAATGGCGAAGAAGAAACCGAATGAAACGAGATGCGAAAGACAAGAGATGTCAAGCGTTGATGCGAATCACCAATCGGTCATTGGACAAAAAAACTTCGGTCTTTTGGGGCTGGATTTAGGCATATTTATATAATAATATTGGGCGTCTGTTGCAGATACCCATCGTGGCTGTTTTTGTGATGACCTTCACGACAGATTAAATGTTGTAAACATGCGTTTCCCGCGAGTTTAGGTTATACTCCTATGTGATTTTAATTTTCCCGAGATCTCATTTCATCTCTTTTTCTATAGCCACAACGGCAAAGCCAATCAGGTCGTTTCAGTTTGCTGGGACTTCGGCTTATCCCAGAAAGAAACTTTCAACACGTGTAACAAAAAACAAATCATAACTGGTGGATCTGATTCTCACGACATCGACTGAAAAAATTTCCACACTAACACACATGCCCGGGCTGAGCGATCAAGACATTTTGCTTATTGGTGTTTTTCTTTTAACTTTCAATCAATAATATCAATAAATATTATGCTGGTTAAAGTCACTGTATTCTAATTGCTTCTTTTAGGTGAAACCAACCTAATAAAACTGATGCAACCATTACCGATAAAGATATTCGTCGACTGGAACGTAAATAGAAGCTTCCGAGCTACAGCTTCATCATATTCCAAGCCCTCGTTTCAGGCACTGAATGTCGTTTCATGTAAGAAAAGAAAAAAAAAATTAATCCTCGCTTGGCAAACGTTTACGCATGGATGGGAAATTACGCAAGATTCTGGGTATTGTTCAGACCTTTTCCCAATGGCATTTTGATATATTATGCATATAGATTACCACGGTTCAAGATTAGGTGAATCGGATCCTCCTCCTCTCCCTCTTTTCACCCTTACTCCTACAGCGGGAATTATACAACTAATGCGTAGAATTGTGTTCGTTCGCTTTTCTTTTTCCTGCGTGCAGCTGTTTCATACAGGGTGTTTTAAGAAGTGTGTCCAAGAATTTTTAAAAATCAGGAAAAGGCGCTATTTGCTCGCTGTCTTCACAGTTGCATTTTTTGTAGCGGCAGGCATCTTAATAAGGTTGAAAACATCATTTAGAACAGTAATTGTGAAAGATAAATTAATTAGTTTTTAATTATTGGAACTACGTAGTTCAGTCAAACGGAAGAACTGAAGTCCTTCATGCGAAAAACTGATGGTCGCTTTGAGATTTCAAAAAAACGGCCTCTAGTAATTACTGCGAATGAATGAAATTCTCCCCAAGTCTGCGGTGAAAGCGAAACTGAAACGCCGCGAAAGACAGCAACTGAAATGAGGGGGGGGGGGGGGGCGTAGTTACATCAACCATCAACCGGCTTCGTTGTGAGTGTGTGCTGCGCTCGTAGTTGCAGCACGCATGACGCACGTACGTTAACAAACAGGAAAAAAAAGCTTAACCCCTGTAACCATTGTTTTGAACAGTGACGTCATTGCAATTGTCTGCTTGTTGCGCTCTTGGTTTCGTTGGTTTCGGTTTCGTCGCAAATTTTAGGAGAATTTATTATTTGGTTGTTAGTACTAGAGGCCGCTTTTCCGAAATCTGAAAGAGGCAAGTGGGTCTTCGCATCAAGGACTTCAATTATCCCATTTGGCGTAACTGCCGAGCTCCACTAAAATAAAAGGTATTTAATTTAATTTTTAATTACTATTCCAAATGGTGTCTGAAACCCTCTTGAGATACCTGCCACTACAGGAAAAACAACTGGGAAGACGGTAGAAAAATAGCGTCGTTCGCTGATTTTAAACCAATATTGTACACGTTTCTTGAAACACCGTGGATACTTGTTTAAGGAAGAGTGGTGTTTCCGCATCCGTATGGTTTATCAAAAGAACATACCATCGCGTTTACACCCACGAAGTGTGGTGTTTCAAATTCAACAGTGCTCGAATCCAACAACAATATACGTTCCAACTTCTCTTATCTATTCCGTGTGTCTACAGCACCATCTGCGTGTTTCGATTTGCATAGGCTTGGTCCCGTTGTACTCAGTCTAGGTGCTAAAGTATGACACGTGATCGTAGGTCATTAAAGCGCCGAAGCTGCCGGCCACTGTCAAGTGCACATTCAGTGAGTTTAGACTGAGAATTCTACTGCAGTGTTGAGGAGGGGATTACTGGCAGGCCGGTCCAGTATTTTATTATATTTGTTATTGACCTGGATTTTTTTTTTGCCCTGGACGTAGGGATTTTGCAGACAGACCAGCGAAATAACGCTACGCGTTGAAGAATTCGGAAAAAAAAATATCTCGTACTTTTGTAATACAATTGATCTAAATGATCTGGTGATATATGATACACTGAAACAGTTCAGACCTGATAACACAAGGCCAAAGTCCAAGCACTTATTCTTAATCCCAAAAGAGCAAAGAGCACACAAAGAGAGGCAAGAGATAGCTTGTTGTGATTTGCTTTTTGCAAGCGCTACAATCGAAGCGAAAACAAATCAAAAGAAAGCGGCCGCTTCGTCCGCACTATATAAATGAAATACCAATAAAATGAAGCTTCTTACTTCATACTGTTTCTCTTGAAGTGTGCTGTTTCCAGCACAAAAATGATCTGCATAGGCCTATAGTGCCACGGTAACACGCTAAGTGGTCGCAGTCTTGGTGAGAACCACTTTTATTATATGTAGTTACATAAATACATTACGAGTATCTTTTTTTTGCACTTGTGTTCAAAGCCGAAATCACTGTCAGGTGCATCAAGATAGACGACTGAAATCCAAATTAAACATTCTTTCTCTTAACCGGTTAAGTGCAAAATTTAAAGAGTTTATTATGCAACCCGGCATTGCAGTTTTGTCGCGTTTATCCTCACGTTTAAGAAAATGAAGCAATACGAAAATATACCAATTTTATTGTTAACGTCAGCTTTCTCTCTTTTTCTCTCCTAGGTGCACGGCATATTACTGCCCGTCAGCGCATTGCCGCATGGAGTCCAAAGAAGGCCCTTACCCGACGTGCTGCCCAATGCCTGTCTATGTCGAGAACTGAGCGCCTACTAAGCGAATCATCGACACTGGCATCACAGCGTAGCTGCAGGGCCAGCCCGTTATTCTTGTATAGTGACTGCCATTGCAAATGCCAGTTGTCATTACTTTTGCTGATGTCGCTAACTCATCCTTTTTGTCGGATAATTCATACCATAATATATATTCCAGTGCCTACCGGCACCCTTTTTTACATTAAACGGGTTACTAATATAGCTGAACCAACAGGAGAACAGATCTGACATCACATCGCTTTTTCTTTTTTCTCTCTTCCTTCCCTTCTTACTCTCTCAATCGAGTTTGAATGTCCTGTAAAAATCTATATAAAGTCAAAGAATGACTGAAGTTAGTTACAACTTATCGTTTTGTCCCCATTGGCAACGTCCTCTTTTATTTACTCAAGCTTTATTCACTGTTGGTAGAACATAAATACATACTTTGAAATAAACGCAATAGTTTTCCCTTTTTCTGATGTGAACCGGATAATTCATGTTGCAGAAACCACGCCTTATTCGAGGAACTGTCTTCAACGATGCCAATTATTGTGAAGTGGCTAGCGGCTGTTAAATAACGTGCCTTATCTTCCACGTATTCTTGTGGTCACCGTTGTTAAAGCTATGCTTGATAATTGGCCTTGAGGGCTGCTCTCTGTATCGTAAACGTAAGAACACAAAATCGTATTTTATTTTCTTTTGCAAATGCAAGAATTGGCACAATTGATGATGTGCTAAGCAGCCATGGGTACAAAAAGGAATGGAGCTTTGTTTTTACGCCCTTGACTTTTGCGAAAAATCTGCTGCTGCACAAAACGCGGCTTTCCCATCAACCTGGCACATGCTGTCGCAGCCCAATCTTTCTGTACACACACGTATATATATATATATATATATATATATATATATATATATATATATATATATATATATATATATATATATATATATATATATATATATATATATATATATATATATATATATATACACATCGCCAAACACATAACTTTTCTTTTTTCTTTCATTTTTTTTCTTACTTTATTGATCACCTCACTGTGCCTTTCGAGGTGCTTTCTCGTTGGTGAGCAAAGATAACCTTCGGCATGAACGTGGTTCGTGCACAGGTAGACTGCTGAAAGCTGCACCGCACGCACGCAATGCTCAATGGAGGGAATGGTAGGGCCGGCCTCAGTGGCACGCCACGCTCGCCCGTGAAGTGTACCTCAAGGGCAAGCACTGATCGATGCAGCAGCCTGCAGCAACGGTGAAAAGCTTTCTGCATAGAGTTTATGCCTGAGTGAATGCAGCGCGAGGGGAAAAATGAATAGAAATCGCACTTCGGTAAGAAGCTTTCCAAGGGGGCATTTTAACGTCGATTTTCCGGACTCTGCAACAACCGATTTTCCGTATAAACTTTGCCTTATAGATATTGTGTTTGAAGTTTTCAAGTATGTCGGCGAATGACTTGTAGCAACGCCAACACCCATAGAACCTCGACGCGAAGTTTATCTGCAGCGTTACATTTTAGCTACAGGATTTTGTACTGGAGGCGACACGGTGAGCGCCCACGTCTAGGTGAGCCTGAATAATTTGTATGAAAATACGTGTCACCAATAATTTCTATATTCACCGGATAACCAATATTGGCTGGTGACTCGACGGTACTTAGCAAGTATCTTGAGGTTTGTATGGACGCGGGCTGGACAGACTTGTTAGAAAGAAGAATTGATTGTGGAACTGAAAGTTGCCTGCCGAACGTTTGCTGCGTGCCTTAGCAAGTGCTTCCCAGAGTTAAGACCTGAAACATCGCCAAGTACGTGAAGGTAATAACAATAACATAAGAGGTTTTACGTCCCAAAACTAAAAGATTATTGGGTATGACGCCGTAGTGGTGGGCTGCGGAAATTTATAACATCTGATGATGCTTAAAATACAATTACATCGCGTAGTAGACAGGCCTCTACCATTTCGGCTCGAACGAAATGCAACCGCCATGGTCAGAATCGAACCCGTAATCTTCTGGTTAGCAGCCGAGTACCTTAGCCACTGATCCGCCGCGGCCGACCCGATCACCTGAAATGGACAAATAGAGCGCAGTGTAAAGAACCTGATGATCTTGCATTTTCCTTCGTCCTTGTTTTTATGTGTTTTTTCTTCTTCTCGCTCTTTGTCACATTTGTTGTCTCTCGGACATAAATGTATGGACAGTGAACCTTTGCGTTATATCAATTGAATTACTTGCATTCTCAATTACGCGCGCTCTGGGGCCTCACTTACGACGAGTCATCTACGAACAGCCATCGTCTCTATAGCGAAATCGATTCATGGGGCAGCGAATCCTAAGTGTCAGTCAGGTAATGAATTTCATTCAAATATTGCCCCGAGGAGACAATTTCAACCTCGAGTGAGGGTCGGGTATTTCTCAATCTCTAGTGAGGATGGGGCAGTGCTCTTTTATGCTATCAATAAACTTATACTGTGAACCATAGTCGACAGGTAAGCACCCGTTCACATCGTCCTTGGTGTGAAAACAACGCAGGGGCTATGAAGCATCCTATACATATATTGTTGGGCTCTAGATGTTTCTGAAGTGGTCTGCTTGTATTTCTTAAAAGAGAATAAACATTTATTACTTATAAATAAGTCGCTAGTGGTTGAACCTCCTAGTCCCGAAGACCATTGGCTCTTGCTGCCATTCGAGCTCGGTCAACCAGGGCTTGTTATTGCACTGGGTCAGAGCCGGACAGGGTCGCCTCCCATTCGAATAATGTAAAATTATGGTTGGCCGATATATTGGGATTGTTCTTGCTCTCCCAGACCACATAAAATAAAGGGGCTCTCTGAGGACAGGATATACATTGCAGATTGTACACCGAATGGTCTATCTTATACGAAGCATAAGAATTCAGAAAGCCGAAGAATCGTGAACGTCGCCATGCGACCTGCAATGCCGTATCAAATTTAAGGCTGGGTGAGTGTGGAGTGCGTCTACTCAGTCTCATGAATTGCAGGATAATCACTATAGGAATTGAGGGGCTGGGGACCTGGTAAGTGAGAAGTTGCACTGTGGATGAAGCTGCGAAGGCCCGGTGTAAGAAATCGTTGGCCGAGGCATGAGCGAGTTCATTGCCTCTAATTTCTGTGTGCTCTGGTACCCATCGCAGTTGTATCCACTAACCCTCTTGACAAGTGGCCGCAGCCTGTTGCAGAATTTATAGTGATAAATGGCTGACTTGACCTTTGACAAAATTGCGATACGCCGCCTGAGAATCCGTGAAGGCAAAGGTGGCTTTTGAATTATGCATGGCTAAGGCTATACCGGCTTTTTCCATGCATGTGCCTATTCGGTTAGCTTATATGCAGTCCATGACCGGTCCCCTGTTAACCATGGCTGCTGTGGCATGAATGTGCAGAGGTCCAGCGGCATTCGTAAAGGAGGCGTCTTCACAATCTGAATATTTGTTACGTACTTTCACTCTGGCAGCTCGCCCATCATTGTTTTGGTTGATTTATGTCGTGCGCTTCTAGCGTGGAGGGACTTGCTTTTGTAAGCGTGAGCGGAATGACTTGCAGCCATATGGCTTAAGTACACGCCTAAACAACGGTGTACGTCATCATCATCGGTATGTGTGGGATAGCGGTGGCCATGGGTCGACATCGGGGCGTCAACGTCAGGCCAAACATCGCTATAATTCATGAGTAGACTGAGCCACCACGGCGTGTCCAGGAGCGTTCTATGTCACATCATCATCATCATCATCATCATCATCAGCCTGACTACACCCAATGCAGGACGAAGGCCTATCCCATGCTGCACCAGCCAACTTGGTCTGGTGCCGTTACATAGCCTTGAAGCAAGCAGCTCTGGACTGTTCGCACACCTTCTATGGTGACAGAATCCACGTATGCACGGTTGGCTCCACACCTAGACTAGCTCCACCGGCGCCACCGTAACCCCATCACGACACATCAGCCTCACTTACAAACGTTTTCAGGTGACCATATCGACTGGTTTGGAATTTCTTGCCCTGCGAGGTGCCATCGATTATATCAAGCAACAACCGGCAAATAGATCAGCAGTATTTCCGACTCCAAGGGGGCTCTACAATGTCTTTCGTCGGCACTTCTTCGCGGGTCGTATGAACAACTTGTGTAGGAGGTCAAAGAAATGCTGCACTATGCGACCGAAAAAGGACACAACGTTGTGTTCTAGTGGATACCAAGTCAGTGCGGTATGTCTGGCAACGACCTTGCCAATGAAGCAGCCATAAATGCACGCGTACAAACAAACTCTGTTTAGATACCTTTATGTAGGGTTAACGCGGCTGGATATTTAAGTAAGCTGGCGCAGAACATGACGCTCCAGTGGCGGCAGTCATCTCAGTTCGCACATCATCGACTGTATTTTCCCGACCCATCTCTACGACTGCGGCTACCCTCTGGTCTTTCTAGGGAGGAAGGTACAGTGTTTTGCCGTCTGAGTTTGGGCGCAGCCTTCACCAATGCCTACTCATTTAAGATAGGGATGGCGGACAGCACGGAGTGCAACGACATGCGCCGTCGATGAGACTATTGAACACATCTTATGTTACTGCCCGGCATACACAAATGAGAGGCTTCACCTGCGCAGTGTTTTTAATCAACTGGACAGAAGGGATTTCACTGCCGAGAAGGTATTGGGACCATGGCGCTGTCCATCCCAGTTCCGAAAGGCAACAAAAGCGCTTTTATGTTTCCTGAACGACACCGGCCTGTTTCATCGTTTGTGATGTCAAACGTGAAACTGTTAGGCGATGGCCCAGTCAGTGACCTTTTTCTATAACTTTTCTTCCCCACCTTCTATTCCTCAGTGCAGTCAGTGACTTTTTTCTATAACTTTTCTTCCCCACCTCTCATTCCCCAGTGCAGGGTAGCCTACCGGAGCTCAGCCCTGGTTAACCTGCCCGCATTTCTACTTATTCTCTCTCTTTTTTATGTGTATCACATAGCTTTTCAAAAGACCCCTGACGCCAAAACGTTTGTTTTTGACAATTCTGCTGTAATTTCTAGCTTTGCGTCTGGTAATCCCAAGAATAAATCGTAAATTTTCTAACATATCGTAGAAATAACGCTAGTGTTATTATTTGCGACCAATTCTTGGTAACATGGAGACGCCCGCCCAAAACAATAAGAAACTAGTACCCCTCCTCGAAGGAGCGCCAAAGATTACGTGCACTAAAGCTTCAATCACGTTGAAAGCACATTATCAAATCGGGGCTCCGCAGACGGTAAATAATGAAATTGCTTAGGTAGTTCGGTACAGGTGTCCTCTGATGAAAAAGAAAGAAAAAAGCATTTCTGTCCTAAACAACCAGACCAGCTGTTTCCTGTTCTAAGTAGCCAGAATTACCTTGAAAGTAGCCTGACAGCAAATCGAGAGAGGTGAACAGCAACAGCCCACGCCTGGTGCCAGTGGTGGCATTGTATGGGCCTCGCAAACCTTTTCTGACATCGAGAATACTCGCTTTACTCGTGGAACGCTACGCGGGGCCTCCGTCTATACTCTATGCCATACCAATGCCGATGTTGCGAGGTGCTGCAAACTCAGATTACCGCTCACGCTTACTTCAATACTACATTAAAATATCATAAAGCTAAGGTCGCCACTAATAATAGGTCAGAAGAGCCCTTGTATACAGGACACCTCAACAACACAAACATAAGGAGGCGTCATTGTTTGTGTCAGGGGACCTTTAAAAGTGTGATATTAAGAGAAAACTGAGTAATTGGCTCTTTGTTTACGGCGTGACTGATGATAGGAAATAAATGGACGCTCACAAGCGCTTTCTGGGTATTTAAAGCAATCATATTATTGTAGAACGACAAAAAAGAAAGTACACATTGTCTATGTTGAATTTGCAAGGAAAAAAGGGTTACGAAAGAAAAAAATTCGACAGATTCCCCGTACCTGGGATCAGTATACGGGTGACTGTGGTGGTTCTTGGGCCCTCAGACGCAGAAACCAAAGCCACGGGGAGGTTGCCAAGTGCACGGAAGCTCACGAGCAGACCATCAGCTGCTCGTGCTGGACCAGGCGGCCTCACGCTGCGGCCGACGCAACACCGAGGTTGCACCTTCAATTGGCGGTTGTGCCGGACCGGCTCCGACGTGGCACCGTGGCCACGATCTCGGTGACTGGTTGTGCCGGACCCGAGTCTGGACAGGATCAGCCGCTTGCCCTGGCCCGCACGCTCGTCCGCCACAGGAACAGCATGTCAGGCCCGGCCCGGAACCGCCACTCGCCTCAGGAACATGCCACGCTCGTCCCGGTTGGGTTGGTGACACCCGCTCGTTGGTTCGGTCCCCTGAGGCCCAACGCCTAGCGCTCTTGCTAGCTGGCCGCGTTCTTCCTCTGCCCGTCGCTGTTCCGAGACTCACGCGCTCGCGTTCGTCTGACCCCGTGCACACTTTGTCTTCGTCGGTTATTTTTCCTGTCGGTTTCACTTCCAGTTTCGATTTTGGTTGTGGGAAGCACTCTTACCACACTCCCCCCAACTTCCAGTACGTTGTACACACGTAACACACAGTTCCCGAATATAACAAAGGTTCCGCACACTTTAAATGTCACAGTTTAGATGTAAAAAAAAACCAATTGCACTATGATGACAACATGATAAAAAAAATTGTGTACAACGGCAATAAGTCACTGCTCGGTAAAAGCCGCTCGACTCATGTAGTCGGCACCAACGTTGTTCACACCATGAATGTGTTCCACGTGAAAGTCATATTCCATAAGAAGGAGACTCCACCGCTGCTCGCCTCGTTCTCGCGTCCATTACGGGCCCCGGCCTTCTTGGATGGTGACTTGGTTCTGCGTCGGCGGGACCTTGGGTGTCGGTACATCGGAGGAGGTCGTTGCCACGAAGGGGCACTCCCCCTGTCCTGGGAGTCCTCCTGGCTCCTGTTGCCACTTCCGCCGCTACCTCCCCGTACTCCTTCTTCGAGATTTTTTTTTTCGGAGCTGTTCCGTCCTGCCATTTCCAGGTTGCTCTGAAAACGGCCACGTCGTCTACGAAAGTAGCAGCCACGGAACCGCCGTGGAGGGCGCCGGGGTGGGGGTTCGTTGAAAACCTCTTCTTCAGCGTACGCTGACCGTGGCTCATCGATAATGAAACGCCGCGGTGGCGGTGGTGGTGGTGGTGGGGCTCGCGGAGGTGCTCGTGGCACTCCTCTGAAACGCTGGTTGTATCGCCAAGGGTAGGGCCTCCCCACGCCGTCCATGATCCACCGCTTAGAGTCTCGGTTTCCTGCTTCCTCCCTTCGATCTTCCCCTCGGCCACGCCTTGACGCCGGCCCGCGCCTTCGTTGATTGCGACGTGGAATCCAGCGGGGAGGGAACGGGCGCCTGTGGGCCGCGGACGGGCTACCCTGAACAGGCTCACCATCGGGTGCGGTCACATTGGCTGCCTCGCAGCCCTTATCGCCGACCACGACGTCAAACTCGACGGTCTCACCTTCGCCAACGCTGCGCAGCAGCTTCTGTGGGTTGTTGCGCGTGATGGCCGTCTGGTAGACGAAGATGTCCTCGTGAGTGTCGTTGCGGTTGATGAAGCCATAGCCGTTCTTGACATTAAACCACTTCACCGTTCCCAGGACCCTCTCGGCGACGATAGGCTTCTTCCTGCCACTGAAACGACTCTCTTCGCCCATTGCCAAGTTGGCGGTGATCTTCGGAAGGGGCCATGTTGACCATGTTGACCCAGGTACGGGTGACCATGTTAGAATTTTCTTCATTGAGCGACGCTAAATATTTGTACGCCAAAATAAGACGCTAAATATTTGTACAAATGTTGCACGCACACACATATGTTGAGGAGTTGCAGATGTTTATATAGCCAGTTGTTTGCACTGACGCAACGATGCCAACTGGAACATGCCTATTAGGAACACCAGTAGCTGATATAAAGCGCTCATTCTCGCGAGGGGGCTGGTACAGAAACTGCTTCATGAATCAACTTCAGCGCATGGCAATTAACCACAAATGACGTTAGCCCGACGTGACGGCTGTATTAATGGAGTATATGTAAACTTTATAAAATTAGAGAGGCAGCACTGCAACCACTATTGACGTTTCACGAAGATTAGCGTCTATTTGAAATGTAGTACCGAGACCTGGCGTAGCTCTGTGGTAAAATGCTTTGTTGCCGCGCAGAATGCTTGTGTTTCACTCCAGCTGGGACCGTGACATTCGTCTTTTGCATTCGTCGGGTCGACGCTACCGATTTCGGGTATTTCTCAACGCTCGCCCGTTAACATTTCTCATGTGTGTTCTCGTCGTTCTTGGGTAGATACAAAGTGTCAATCACCTGTGGCACATACCCGCAACTATAGCAGCACCTATACCTCCGGTTGGTATGCGCCACTGTCTCGCGGGAAGTGTTTGACGACGTACGCGACGGGATTGTGACATTATTTATGTCTTCAGCAGTGCGTCATATTCGTGAAACCATCTTACCCTCCCATGCTAATTTTAGTTCACGCCAGGTTAAGGGGTTGACCCCGAGAACACCCAAACGTAAGCGACTAGATAGATAGATAGATAGATAGATAGATAGATAGATAGATAGATAGATAGATAGATAGATAGATAGATAGATAGATAGATAGATAGATAGATAGATAGATAGATAGATAGATAGATAGATAGATTAGATAGATAGATAGATAGATAGATAGATAGATAGATAGATAGATAGATAGATAGATATGCTAAAAGTCACCGAAGTGCGCTAAGAAATGCTCCGCATTTAGAACAAATAACGTATCAAGACATCCCACTGTTAATTCCCACATTCACACATTCTCTCTGAATCCCTTTCAAGTTCTTCTTTGAAAGATGCGCCGGGTGGGGTTATTTATTTGAAACTTGCTTCACATCATCTCTTTTCGCGCGTGTGGTTCATCGTTGTCTGGCAGGAGGGAAATAGTCGCTGTTGCTACTCTTACTCACTACAGTCAACTGCGTGATGTGTCATCGTTTGCCGGAACTCGAAGCGTTTTAAATGCTGTTCACGTGCGAGTCGTTCTGCGCAGATGAGCGAGCAGATGCGTAAGCGCAGGAAAACGCCGTTGAGTTTTGTAGCAAGATTTGTTTTCGTGTCTCCAGTGTTCTCACCGCTATGCTGCTACTCTCCGGCAAATGTGTTGTATTCGGTGCTCCCGCTATGCTGCCCTTTTTTAGATGGTGTCGCAAGCAAACTTTTCTTCACTTACACGCCCACCTGTTTGAGAGACGCGTAGCGTCGGCATAATCCGTCCTGCTTATCGAGATCAGCCCATCTGTGCCCCCTCACCCGTTCCTTTGTTGTTGTTTATTTCGCGCCCTGTAAAGACTTGCTGGCGTGGTTTGCTGTAAATGTTTTCATTTTCTTTCTTTCTTTTTTCATTTCCGTGTGCACGTAGCGTCGTTTCCTGGCACCTTCTTTTTCATCGTCACACGTGTAGGGCCAGGTGGACCGGAATTTGCCTTCTACTCTTGAGCGAAAACCGGCTGGGGTGAAAACTGGAACGTGCTTGGGAAAAACATCAACAGGGAGGCCGATTCACGTGAATGTGCGTGAAGAAGGCGGCAAAGTGCAAGAAGGCGTTGTAGCGTAGCTTTTAAATAAATGAATAAGTTCCACAGGCACACAAATAAGGAACTGGCGCAGGTTTTACAGCATCACGTTGCGAACACAGATTTTTTACAATATGAGTTTTTTGTTGTTGTTGGTGGTGAGAATGTGGAGGCAAGCCGGTCGACTGACACTTTATGAATGACACCCACGCCAAAATAAATGTGCCTGCGTTTCCTCTTGTGTGAAAGACAGCATTCCTGATTGAGGTTCTGCATAGATCTTTGCGTTGCTAATATATCCAGAGAACGAGAAAGCCACCGAGACTTAGGCAGGTGGGCCACAAGCGGTACTTTTCGATTGCTACATACGTTGGAATGTGGAACCCCGGAAGACACAGCCCACCATATCTTTTCCTAATAAATGAACGAACAAACGAGTGGACCATGCAATGTCCCTAGAAGTGCGCTAGCGCTACGTTAATAAGTAGAAGAAAGAAAAAGGTGGAGGGACAATAAGTCTGTTCTATGTTTTTCGAAGTCTATACGGATTTCACCATGCCAGACGAACCAATGAAATGTGGTGCTTACTTCTCTTTTAAAATGTAGGTGATGTGATTCTGCTTCTGTTTCATTGTGGCTTACCAGAGGCAGCACCATGGGGAACGATTTGGGTATCGGCAAAATACAAAGCTTTATATTCATGAACTCTTTGATTTTTACCACTTGTATGAGAGTGAATCGGTGCTCGGGTAACCCTCTAAGGCGTATATCGTTTTTTTTTTTTTGTGGTGCACCGAATTTCAGGCCTCAGTCTCCACTCCATGGGCATCACGTCAAGCTGCTTCGATGGGTGATAAAACAGCTGCGTAATGGTTTGAGTGTTCAAACCGGTGATGCTTGGGTGCAGGTTAACTAGCTCGAGCGTCCATATTATTTCACATTTTAGTAACACTCCGAATTCGTTCTGGAATGTTACTAAAATGCCGAAAATGCCTCCAGCAATCAGCAGTGAATGATGAATAAATTTAGTAAATACAGGCACAATACGATGTTCACTTATTTTGGGCATAGTGGTGCGTTTGTGCCCCGCTTTTATTGCTATTATGCGAAAATACCTATCTCAGAACGCATGAAATATATCTAACTTACATAGATATTATGTTTTATTTTATTTGTAAATATTATAATTGTGACAACAATGCGTGAAGGCAGCTATTTCGACGTAGATGCTGTCTTCGCCATTAAAGTTCCGAGCGATTACCTCTGCTCTCGGTCATAAAATGGTTTCGAGAAATGACAAGCCAACAAGAAACGATAGACGAATACGAGTGCTTATGTTCGTCTGTCGTTACTTCTTGTGCCCCTGTTTTCTGCTGCGCTATGACACTAGCCATTCCATCATGACAAACTAACAAGCCTACATTGGAACCCTCGATTACTGTTGGTGCTCAAACAACTAGCAGAACGTCTCACCGATAAGGAATCTTGCAAGTACACAGTCAAGCAAAGAAGGTAACACACCTCCTATACTTTTTTTTCAATCTACGACCAGAATCATCTTTACCCACCGAAGCAGATTCTCCCGGTCCAAATTCTTCGTCAAACGCTGCATATTCACTGTTCTCGTCTTGTGCTCATCTCGACAGCAACGGCTTTTACAAAACAGCGTTTGTCTCCGACCTTCAAAGAACATATGCGACTAACGAGGCGTGCTATCAGTGCGTAGCGGCAGAATTGCCAGCCTTCCATGCGTAAGTTAGGTCACTTGGCTAAAAAATGATACCCAACACGCCCTCAGCTGGCGCGTTATCTCAGACACCGAGATAAATGCCAAGGCAGTCGCATGTGGTTTCAAGTTTCATACACGGAAGTGTCAAACGGCCATCACCGCTTTTCGAGAAACCACAGCTTCACTGTGCATGATATGTGTATGACTGCAGACCATGATATAGCCGCCTGCCATCGACCCATACGCGCCGAAATCGCGTCTTTGAAATTCTCGCTTTCAGTTTCATGAATTCGAATGCGAATGACTCGCATGATACCTCCAGTGTTTGCTTATCGGTTCCTGGAGTCGTTAAGAAGGCACGCATGTCACCGCTAGCCCTGAAGCAATTAACCTTGCGTCTGTTGGACGAAACGTACTTTGACCGCATACTTGTTTACACCGATGGCTCCACTAATTCCAACAGCTCTACAGGAGCAGTGGTTGTTCCATCTGGTAATGTATTGCTACAAGTTTTCTCACAACACGACGTCGAGAGCAGCAGAGCTTCAAGGTCTGGTCAAGCAGTTCCTTCAGCAGAAACCTGCTCAATGGGCCATCTTTTGCGACTAGAGGTCAGCCTTACAGACCCTACGGATCGCTTTACGGCACCGATTGCACGAAAACAATCAGTATATTAGATAAGGCACGACTACCATCATGCGCTCGAGGAAGCATACAATATTGTATTTCAACGATTGCCGAGTCATCGCGGAATGGTCAGCAATGACCACGCGGATGAAGCTGCTCGATCAGCTCATGACCAAGACCTGCGAACTCCCATACCACTCTTGAGAACGGACGCGGCAAAACGACTACAATCACTTGCTCGCCGTATAACTCTCCCACAATGGAATACACAGGGTTTTTCCAAGGGGCACCTGTATTCGACTGACCCAAACATGCAACTTCGTTTGCCATCCGGGCTCCCACGACGCGCTCAAACTTTGCTGTGTTGCATGAGGTTGGACGTGGTATTTACGAATGCATATTTTTGTCTCCTTGGAATGGTGAGCAATTCAGCGCTTCAGCACATTCTATGCCATTGCCCAGCATACCAGTATAGCCCCGACGTGGTGGTCTAGTGGCTAAGGTACTCGGCTGCTGACCCGCAGGTCACGGGTTCGAATCCCGGCTGCGGCGGCTGCATTTCCGATGGAGGCGGAAATGTTGTAGGCCCGTGTACTCAGATTTGGGTGCACGTTAAAGAACCCCAGGTGGTCAAAATTTCCGGAGCCCTCTACTACAGCGTCTCTCATAATCATATGGTGGTTTTGGGACGTTAAACCCCACATATCAATCATCAATCAGCATACCAGTATAAATGACGTGCCATGGAAGCCAAGCTCTGTCAGCTGGATTTATGACCACTTACAGAAAAGAAGATCCTGAGACCTTGGCCGACGGTTTCGC